AAAGGGACCCCTCACATCTGGTGTTCTCCTGAAGACATGAGCTTGGTTTTCCGTAGATCTTAATACTGCCTCTGAGCTGAGCCCCTCAAATATTTTAGCATCTTCTGGTACTCTTACCTGGAGCGCTTTGCACTGTTTCCAGCACAGCTGCACAAACATATACGTGGTATGAAGTGGCTTAGGGCTAGAACTCTGCGAGAAGCAATGCACCCGCTGTTATAAAATGGCTTAAAGGATTTGTCTCAGATGTGGGTATTGGTAAATTCTTGGGAGTATCTGAAGAAACACAGCGCCCCTTTGTTTTTCGCTCCCTTCATTGCCCTGCGGTTTTTACAAGGCTTTGGTGCAAAGGCCGGGGGGGGGGGGGGGATATTCAGGTATTGGAGAAGCAACACTCAAAATGCTCACACTCAGGTGAGCACCTCTTGCTTCGGCCGTTCACACAGCTCTGTGTGAGCTGCCTTTGAAGATGCTTTAGCAGGAAGTATCAACTCATGGGGAACACGTCTGCTCAAGTGTTGGTTGGAACACCAGTGCCTAGATTGGGCCAGGCTTAAAGGCTGCCAGAGCCCTTCCAGGTCCAGTTTACAGTGTTGTCGCTAACCATTTACATCAGGGCTTTATGCCCGAGAAAATTTGGAGCAAAACTACACGAATGGCCTCCCTCACCCAAGATTGCCTGCCCCAATTTGATATTTCCCTTCGAAGCCTTACCCACACCTATCTGCGACAACAGCACAACAGCTGGGTCAGCGGCCACAGGAGCATCTCCCCCCCTCCCCGCAATAGTGTCACTTTGTGAAATCCGTTGGAAATTGGTGTATTTTGGGCCTTGTTATAATGGACCTCAGGAGCATTTGGTTTCTTCTCGCCATCTTCGGGTATTCCATTTGTCTAAGCATGGAGGGCTAGAAGACATTACTGCCACCTTTCGTGCCCATAAAGAGTGGAATCCAGAAAAGGGCTATTACATTGTCTCAGAGAGGATTTTATTGAGGTGAACCTGCTTTTGGCTTTAATTATGTCTTGGTTCTTAGTGCTTTACTGGGCTGGATGTGGAGGTGGTTTTTTGGGCATTATTGATGTTTTCTGAAGGTTGTTTTTTTCCCCATTTTTTATTTTTATTTTAGACAACCCCCCCAGAAATACGGTACATCGTAACAATAATAATATAACAAAAACACAATAATGAAAGGTAAATTTTTAAAACTAGTTTTTTTTTTTAATTTTTAGCCGAGAATGCACTGAGGTTTTATTGAGGTTTTATGGCACTGGGGTTTTATTGTATGGTTTATTTATTGATGATGTGAGCCGCCCCGAGGCTTATTGCGATGGGGTGGCATAGAAATGTTTTAAATAAATAAATAAATTAAAATAAATGAAAGTGCCCCCACCACCCTGGAGACCAATGCTACCACCATTCACGTACTATAACAATTAGTAATATATAATATACTTCAATTATTTCCATATCCCCTCCAGAAGTTCATATAATCTTGACTGGATTTACAGCCTTTACTTTCTATCAGTACTGCTTTTACAAAATCTTCCCATATTTCATTATATTTATTTGCTTTCATTAACTCTTTTAATTTTTATTTCTGTCATCAGTTTATCATTAATTACAATGTTCCATATTTCATTATACCATTCATGCCTTTGCAAAACCCAATTCTGTTTCCAATATTTAACTATCACTAGCCTAACTGCTATTATCTTTTCTGAAGGTTATTAATGTTTATGTTGTGCGTTGATTACCAAAGGCTTTCTTTTTAAGCGTGTTGCAAATGCTTTAATATATAATCAGAAAATGAAAACTGTGTAGCAGGGAGTTAAGGACCAAGTCTGGTTCAGCAGATATGGTTACACAAAGCTTGACAAAAGCTACATTTGAGTCATTTTAATGGTGCCCTTAATTGAGGAGCCTTGAACAAGGAATCTTTCTGCAATGGGGCATTTAAATTCTGATACATTCTGTGAAAGTCAGCGCCTTAGCTACTCTGGTTCCATCAGGGAGTAGGTGTGTATGAACCAGGCCTGCTGAACCAGTTTCAGAAGACCACCAATTCAATTTATGTTAAATAATTTGCCTTTTGAGCAAATTATCTCCAGGAAAGTTTGCAGCAGATTCATTCAACACAAAGCGATTAACTTTTGCTCAGTGGGCAAACCAGCAAAGAGAGATGTCTTTGAGATGTGATGCTTCTCCTTAGCAATGGTGGCATTCTTAGTGACTGTTGCTAGTAATTAGTGGATTTCGGAAGAGTGCTAACTTCATCTCAGTGTATTACCTGTGGAAGCGTGTCTGTCACTCCAGCTTCCTGTTGTCCAAAGACAACACCTCACAGGTAGATGAAATGCCATGGTGCTGGCCAGTGTGAAGAGCTAGCTACAGCTACTGGGTACAACTGCATGGTGGCAAATGTTCCACAAGGTTTATGATAAGGAACGGACTTCGACAAACCTTGGTTTTGCATGTGCATTTGAGCTTTCGTCTGCTTTCATGTAAAACAAAAGACAGCCCCATGTTCCGCCTGAACTCGAGGGAACTCTAGTTTCTTCTGGACAAGCAGCTCAGACAGAGATCTGACACCATGGCTTGATCTTTTTGTTCCGATGAGTTGAGTTAAAACAAAGCAGAGTTTTCTGAGTGCAGACATAACATGGAATTGCAATAATTTCTAGAGTTAAAGCCTTCACATTCCATTCTCCAAATGCGAAGAAGGGGGAGCACATTGTTTTCTGTGAGTGCAAGGACGGTCTTTTAATAGACAAACCTTGGAGAACAGACTGTGGTCCTAACATTTGCAGTTTCAACGACGTTGAAATGTTGAACGGAAGGACAGTGTACAGTTTGCATGCAGCAAATCACGAGCAGAACCCTTTGACGCCATTTTGGTGTTTTTGTGATTTTTTTTTTCCTTGCAAAGCAAAGTGTTTATCCTTAATACCTCAGGCAAGCTAGTTTGTGCCTGTAGAAGCCCAGGTTAATTTTATATTATTGTATCTCAGTGTATTTTTTGTATTTTTGTATTTAGTGGTAATTTATTGTGTTCTATTGTATTTCAATGTATCTTATTGTGTTGTAAGCCACCCCGAGGCTTCGGCAAGGGGCGGTATAGAAATGTAGTAATAATAATGATGATGATGATGATGATGATGATGATGATGATGTGGGAGACTGTTCATTTGGCCTTTAACTAGAATTGTTGTGGCAAGGGATTCTATGAGGGAGTGATGAATTATTACAAAAGCTAGAAAAGAAATCCTGATAGCCAGCTATGTATTGAATTCATTTAACAGTGCTACTTCTTAATGAGCAACTTGGTAGAATATGGCCTGACTTCTTATCTCCACAAATGGAAGGGCAAGTGGTTTGCTTTTTAAAATCTGAAACTTCAGAGAAGAGCCAGGAATATCTCCAGGGAACATCCTCGCCTCCATAGCTGCCTCCATGCTGTTACTTTTCTGATGGTTACTTGGTACTCTCATTGGATGCCTGGCCTACTTCCCTTGTTGGTATCTGCAGAATCAGAGTCCTGCTTTCCTGCTCTTCTGCTCTGCTTTACCTTGGGTTTTTTTTTTAACTAGGAGAGAGTGCCCAGCCTAGCACAACCGGCACTTTCTCAAAGGAACTGGAAGAACAGCACGCTGTTGTTGGATCTGAGTTTTGAGTTTGCCTCCAATAAAAAGCACATCTGCCCTAGAGCACATTTAGGTAGCATTTTTAAAAAAATCCTTCCAGCCAACCCGCAGCATCACCTTCTTAAGGTTGGCTTTCTTGGATTTGCAGTTCTTGGATGAAGCACGGGTGTGGGATTCAGCTGCAGTGTAATACCCAAACTATGTAAGTATCCCATGCAAACATCAGAGAGTCTTCTGATTGTTCAGAGTGATGGGGCTGCTTTTGAGTTTCCTGAGTGAGAAGGTGGCTTTGCTTGCATCATAAGACTGTGGCTTGAGATGGTTTCCCAACTGCGGAAAAAGCTCCTGCATTTGGTGAGAGGTGGTGTAGGCTATGGAAGCTGAGAAGCTGGGCTACAAATCGGGAAGTTCCTGGCTCACATCTTGCCTCGACCATGAGTTGCTATAAACTCACCTGTCCAATGTAGGGAATGCATTCTTTTTCCACAGCGCCAACTCCAGGTTTTCAAGGGCCTTGGGAAAGAGGGGCCCTCCTCCCTCGGTGAGGCTCCTTTCTCACTGCCTTTTCCTTTGTTCCTCCTGCCTTACTCCTGACCTGCTTGCTTGATGAGCAGAAAGCAAGTGTAAAGTAGCAATGCTCAGCCAGAGGCCCTCTGTGGCTAACCTTTTGCAACTTGTTTCCAACTCAACTGCCTGTTTGCACTATGCGGATAATACGACTGATCTAAATTACAAGGTGGTTGCTAAGATTATGGTCAGGCAGTGCTTTTTTTGTCATAGACCGCACCGGAATGGAGTTCCGGCACCTTTTTTTGACAGATTTTCCAAGTTTTAAAAGTAACTTTTGAAAATTTGATGTTTGGTCCACGTGGATTTGAATTGCCCTGTCGAGCATAGCAGGTTGGCGGCAAAGTCATTAAAACGGTGCATGCAGGCTGCTTGTGTGTCGAATCTGATGCATGCGTACTTCGTCCGCGCTGGTTGTGATGGCGCTGCTCAGCTTGGCTTGTGATTGGTCGTGTGGTTGTGCGCTGAGCTTACTGCAGGCGGCAACCGTTACGTTTCGTTACACAACTGACGTGTGGGTGTGTGTACAGCGATTGCTACGTACGAAAGGTAAATAATTTCATGAGTTCCGGCACCCTTTTTCTTACAAAAAAAAGCACTGTGGTTAGGTAATGTTTATTAGACTACAACTCCACATGGGAATTGTAGTATAACACCTGGAGGGCACCAGGTTGGGAAATGCTGGCTTAGAACATTTGAAAAACTGTTATATCAGCACATTAGCATGCTTGTCACTGGCTCAGATTGCCTGCTTTCTAATCTCTCTTCTGTGTTCCCTTGCTTTACAGCAGTTCCTTGGAGCTTGTAAAAATGGCTCAGTACTTTATTTGAACCCGAACCATGACACTAGTGAATACGAATGGGATCACGCATGGATGTACTACAAGATGGAGCCTAAAGTCTTGAAGACATATTGGAAAATAGCCTCTTCCTTTCTCTCCTTCAACATATACCTCTCCTTAATCATGTTGCTGATCCCCCTTGCTTCACCCTACACACTCAAACGTAAATGTGGGACCCATTCTCCTTACCTAATGTACGCTTTCTCTCTCATTGTTTTTATGCAAAAACTTAATATGCCGTTCTTTATGTAGTGGGCTTTGAAAGTATTTTGACGAACCATGTTTTTTCAGCTGGGATAATTCTTTATACTTTTGTACCTTTCTTACATACTAAAAGACTTGGTGAATCGTTTACCATAAATGTGTATCATTTGGACCTATTTGAGCTATAGTTTGTTTAGACCTAGCTGGAAACATTGCGTAGCTTGTGGCAGTCTTCTCTCACAGTTTGTTTTTCAACGCGTTTGTCTCTGCTTTGGCTCTCTGGGGTACAATTTTCTCTGGTGCTTTTAAAAAAGAACAATTAACGGTACGGTATACTAATGCTATATCATGTTAGTGATGGGAGAGGACCGGGCATCCTTTTACCCACAATGCCTTAAATCATGGAAATAGTCTTACATGCCAAATATCCTTAGAAGCCTCTAAAAAGATCCATCTTGAATTTTCAGAGATTAAATTAGCGGCAGTTTCTGTTGGAGCTGTTTTTTTCCCCGTTGGTTGAGAGAACAGTGATACATACTCAAAGTGTTTTATAATGTATCATGACACTAATTTTCCTTAGTTTTGTAATAAATGGGATAGACATGATTGAAATAGCGTGTTTCATCCTTTCATTTTGGATTGCTAATGGAATTGGTGAGGGGGATCTGTGCAGAATGTAGGTGCCACAAGAAAAGAAAGGGCATTTGTGTGTGGCATTTTGCTAGAGCAGTTAATATTTTCATGTAGGGCTGGAGGCCTTTTCCTGCACCAAACATCCATCTAAACCAGGATTGAATCAACTATGACCATCCAGATGTTGGACCCCACCAGTCCCAGGCATTATGGATAGTTGCTGGAGACGAGAGGAGTTGTAATCCAGAATCTGGAGCAGGTATAAGTTGCTCCAATCTAAACACACACAGATTAGTATTTTAAAAAATCCACATTTTCATCCAATCTTTCTGAAGTCATTCCTGCGTTCTTAAAAGGAAATTTAATTTAAATGTGCGCATGTATTGATAGACTTGGCTATAATAAAACTTCTCTAGGAGTCAAACAGGGATTATAAAAGGTACGAATGAATGACTCATGGTCAAGGGAAAAAAGATTAATTACAAACCAGGGTTCAGACTGACAGGAGCGCTCTAGCTATTGGGTGCTATAGAAATACGTAAGAAAAAGGAATGAATGAAAAAATGTTTTTTAAATTGTAATATAAGTTATTTTGGTGTCTGTAGAGAAACCAAGTGTACATTGTTTAGGGCAGAAAACTTTCTGAACATTTGCTTAGCAACTGTTGAAGTTCCACCTTGTTCCAGGTGAATCAAGGACTGGTTTATTTACTTGTATCCTTTCCTCCCATGTTGTATTGAATGAAATATTGATTGAACTGTTTCACTGGATGAAATACTCATTGCCACAACTACTGGTGATGCTGCTGCTTTACGGGCTTTAAAACAGAAGTATATTAACTTTCCCCAGCCTGGTACTCTCCCCTTAGGATTGGACTACAATTCCCAGCATTCTTCACGGGTCATGGTGGCTGGAGTTCCAGCCTAAACTTGCACACTGCTTTCAGCTTTCTGGATATGACTTGATTTCTAGAAATGGTTCTCTGATTCTGGCATGCTGTCTTTCATCCGTAGGCCGTCTCTTCCAAACAAGCTATTGCTTTTACATTTCAGATAGCAGATTGTAAAGCAGCACAGGAGTCTGATTATTAGATCGCTGAGCCTTTTATCGTGCGGTCGCTTAATGGTTTGCGGTTGTCTCGTCTTTTAAAATTGTGCAACTGAGAGAGCCATTACTAATTCTCTCTGCTTCCTTCCATATTGATTGAGGCAAACTGAGAATTTAAGGGGAGTCAAAACAGTTTTTGGAGATAGATGCATTCTCTCTCTCCCCTCCCCCCTCATATATATATATACATGAGGGTTTTTATATATATGTACATGAGAAAGAGAGAGTGTGTGTGTATTTATTTATTCGTGATGGGCCCGCTACCAATTTTACAAGCCTTTTCTCTTTGTTGTATTCTGGGGTGGGAGAGATTTTTTTATGCAGAAAACCTGAGAATAATGGCCATATTTCCAGTTTGAAATGACCATGTTGGATTATAACACCATCTGTTCCTGCACCAGTAGAAGTAGCTTGTGTTGATTTACCAGCCTCCAATGCCCCAAAATGGTTTTAACTATAGTCAGCTATCCAATGTTTCCCTTCCATAAGGTGTTCTCAGACCACCAGCACAGAAAAATGTATGACCACGGAAATGATTTCAAACATATTATGTGGGTACGTATGAAACTTCCTTATTCTGCATCAGACTTTCTGTCCGTTTAGACAAGTATTGGTCAGACAAAGGCCTTTCCAGACATCTGACCTGATTCTTCTAATTGAAGAATCCAGTGGTTGCACTTGGAACCTTCTCCAGTTATCTTATGACTGAGCTGTGAGCCCAGCACTAAATGGGAAGCTATGTTTATACTAGATCATGGAATGTGCCCATAAAACCTGATATTTGTTTGGCCTAACCAAAGGCAACTCTTCAAGTTCTCAGAGGTCTTTTTCGTTACCTGCTTCTTGGCTTTTTTGACCTGGTGGCCAACCCCAATCTAAGCCAATGCTGGCCAACTTTGCTACCTGATGGTACCCAAGATGTTGGCACTTGTAATAAGACCCACCGAACTTTGCCCCCAGCAAAGTGTGACTTGAAATATTCTACATCTGGAAAATCAAGGCAGCACTGGCAGTCTGACTCAGAACTTGGATGAAGGGGCTTCTTGTGAACTTATGCAGGTATGTTCTGTGCTTCTACTTGTGAAGACTTGCTCAAGTATATGTTACCAGAGTAGAGACAGCTTCCTCTCTTTGCTTCTGTCCACCACAGGGAATGGAACTCTTTTCTTTCAAGACAACAGAACAGAAGGGAATTCTGGGATGTCATGTGATTTCCCAGAATCTGATCTGACAATGTTTAAGTTGGGTCATGGATGCATAGGGTGGTAAAAATTCTGGACAACGTTGAAGGCATCAGATAAAAAGAACCACATTTTCTTGTATGAATAAAGACATTTGGTTTTGCTTTCATTTATTACTTTTCTGTACTGCCCAACAGCCAACGCTCTGGGTGGTTCCCAGAGATTAAAACCTTAAAGATAACGTAAAAGCCTTGTACATGCACATATTTTACATGGGGGCACATAAAGCAGTTTTAAATCAACAAGAAAAAATGAAGACCTGATTAAAGTCTTATCATATGCTGTCATATGCCTGAGAGGAGGTCTTCATCCAGTGTTGAAAAGAGAACAGAATTGGTGCCAGGAAGGCCCCATCAGGAGGATCAATCTCCCACGTTTTGGGGAAGAAGACCTGATGTTTATGTTGGGTACAGATCATTCCATTGTCTCCTTTCCATTCTTCCTTCTTTGAAGGCAATGTGTCCAAGCATCTGAACTGAATGCGAGTCCAGCCAGGTGTTCTGTATGATTATGGGCTCTCTCTCCTAAAGCATAACTCTTCTCCAATGGTGTGCTTGTGTTCTTCCTTAGATTAGAGACCAACATGACAGAAATACAGGAAATGGCCTTATATTGGGATAATTGAATCCAGCTTAATACTCTTACCTGTAGATTCTCCAGGACTTCAGGGTGTAGGTCTTCAGCTTTCCCTGAAGATCCTGGGGGGGGGGGGGGTTGACTCTGAGATATTTTGCATATTAAGCAGGTGTTTTATGAGTCATGGTCCGTCCTTTTCCTGTGTCTTCCTTCTTGCTAGGTGAATGTCGGACTGCAGCCTTAGACTCAGATTGATGTGATCTATGGTAATATATTGAGTTGGTACTGAAGGGTTCTTCGTTTTGAGTAGAATTGGAGGAGGAGGAATGAGACCTCACCTTTGTGCCATTTTCTAATCTCACTCTTCCTTCCCTGTCTTAAAGGTGTTGGAGTGGTGGCAGGGAGGGATTCAGGAAACTCTTCTGCCACGAAAGGCAGTCATTCCAGTCTCATTCCCGCTCTGCTTTATCCATACTTGACTTTTTAGCCTTGAAGAGGCAGTGACTGGGTTCAGATGATATTCAAGGAGTGACTATGGGTTGTCATCGAAATATGGGTTACCATGTCTAATGTACTGAGGTGAGCTGACCATGGCTTGTTAACCATGAACAACCCATGAAGAGAATCCATAGTTAATTGTTGGGTTGTGAACTTAGGGTGTTTGTGGCTTTAAAAAACCATGTGTTGTTAGCATGGCTAACACTTTTCAATTACCCATGGTTCAAGGGTGATTGTGTTGTCTGATTGGTGGTTAAGAGTGTTTTACTAGGACTGGGAAGAGCTGTGCTCTAGCTGTAACTCAGCCAGGAGGTTCACGGGGCAAAAATGGAGCACTCATTGACTCTCAGCATAACCCACCTCACAAGGGTGTTTTGAGGACAGAATAGAGAAGAAGAGGATCATGTACACTTCCTTGGGTTCCCTGGAGGAAATCTAGCTAACTCATTCCAATATGAATAAAGGAATATATCAAAAGAACACCCATCTGATTTAGATGCAATATACAGAGGTAAGCTAGAATACATTGTTTATATTATATTATGCCTTAAGGTAGAAGCAACAAATCTCTAAAAGCAGTAAAAATTCCAGTTGACATTCTGTGTTGTAATCTGTTTTTAAAACCCTTTTCTGGTATGCTCATGTTGCTCACGTGTTTTTCAATAGTCTAACATTTTGTATTTATACTGTATTGGGAAGGGAATACACACCCTGAAAGGCAGGCCAAAAAAGGGTACATAAAAATAAGTATCCTCCATCAGCCAAAATCTGCTTTTTGTAGCCTAACAAGACTAGCACTGAATCACGGCACATTTAGAAGGAGATGGCAAATGCAATTATTTGCAAACCCGCTTCCCTTAACTGATTTTGAAAAACACAGGAGCAGCTAAGGCATACGCTGGAGAGGGCTGGAAAGTGTGTTTAATTCGTACTGATTAGCATTGCTACACGGGGGCGGAATGGGAGAAACACTGAGCCTGCAGCTGAGCTTAAACCTGCCTCGCTCTCCTTCCGAAGCAGGTGGGACCAGACCGGCGCTTGCCCGGCCTTCCTGATCTGGGCTTGGGGGGGTGCTCGCTTAGGCGCGGCTCGAGGCTTCCCGGCTTCTGGGGGTTCCGGGGGCGACGGAGGCGCGCTCCCGCCTTTCCCCCATCCGCCTGTTGTGTTATTTTACCGTGATGGCTGGAAAGGGGGAAGGAGGATGGGTGGGTGGGGGTCTCCTCAAGCACGTGGGAGTGCTGCATGCTGGAAAGGATTTGGGGCGCGCGGATCGGCTGGTCCAGGGCGGGGCGCTGATTGGCTGCGGGGCGGGGGCGGGGGCGGGGCCAGGCCGCCTCCTGCTCCGCCTCCCCCCCTTTCCCCCCCCCCTCCCTCCCCCCCCCCCCCGGTTTCTATCTGTATTGCAGCAGCAGCTTTTGCTGACACGCGCGTGCGAGAGAGAGGGAGAGAGACAGAGACACAGACGGACAGACCGACCTGGGCAGGGAGGGGGCGGAGGGGCCCGGACCAGTCGCCTGGAGAGGAGGGCGGCTCGCGGCTGCAAGGAGCCTCATCCGGCGCCGTCCTCAGTGATCCGAAGCGGTTCCCTGGAGAAGAGGGCAAGATGAGCACAGGAATGCGGTACAAAAGCAAGCTGGTCAACCCAGGTGCGTTTCCCTGCGCGCATCTTTCGGGGGAGGCGCGCGCTTTGCATTGTTCCAGGCTTCTGATGGTCTCTCTTCTTTTCTTTTCTCCTCTTCCTCAATGCGCTCCTGGGCATCTCTCTCTGCTCCCGGATGGGTCGGCTCCCGTACAGAAGAAAAACAGGTAAGACTGAACCCCTTCCTTCCTTCCTTCCTTCCTTCCTTCCTTCCTTCCTTCCTTCCTTCCTTCCTTCCTTCCTTCCTTCCTTCCTTC